AGCAAATGCAACGTGCTCCCCAAGGCTGAGGACTATTTGTGCTTAGTAGCCCCATGGTGGAATGTGGGCAATGGGCTTCTTGAATTCACCCAAGTCACGAATACTAAGCTGCTGGGAGTTCCCGGCGTTTGGGGTGGGAAGTGGCTGGATCCTGAGACCAGGGGGGAGCAGCACTCATCATATGCATGCAGGAGGCTGCCCCCTGCACCCATGGCAGGCAGTTTTGGTGAACATCTGCAGGATCCCTGGAAGGGGCTTATCTGTATAGGCCCCCATCTCTTTGCTACATTGGTTGCAAAACCAGCTGGGCTTTGGCATCTCAAATTTTAAGAATGATTTCTTCACATTTCCACCAGGCCATGGCCATTTGGAAAAAAGAATTAAAGTTATTTTCCTAAATCCTGAATAATGCTATCTATATGAAAAAATATACTAGGTGTAGTGAATGCTGTTTTCCTGAGAGTCCTCCTGGGGCCAGCCTTGTCGCAGATGCTGGCCCAGGGTCATCCAGGGCTGGTGCTGAAGTCCTCCTTGTCTTCTAGAGTCATCGCAGGGGGATCCCATAGGCAGACACAGGTCCTGACCCAAGTGAACCAACTGTAGAGTCCAGCAGGATTGCAGCTAGAGAGACTCTGCTCTTTGGTTGAGGGTTTTGGCTTCATGTTTTAATCAAAAGTTCTGTTACAACTTTAAAATATTATCATTATCATTATCCATGGCATGTGGCCCAGAGAGAGGGGTAAAGAGTAGAGAACCTTGTTGGTATGACCAGGGTACGAGAGGGAGTCCCTTAAGGAGCTGATGACTGACCACGGTCCAAGCTTTGCCACTGGCCTGTGGGCAACCTTGGGCAGGCTACCAGCCCTCTCTGGCCCTTGAACTTTGTGTATAAAAAGAGACTGGACTGGTTCGGGTGGGTTGAAACTTTTCGAAATAATAGAACCTGTTCACCAAACCAAATCTGTGGAAGAACAATCAGAAGTATGGGTGGAAGGAGCATTCACCTATCCCACACTGAACTCAGCCCCAGACCAGCCCAGCTAGAGTGGTCCTAGATTATGGATTCCGAGCTCAGTGCCTTGAGCAATTATCAGCTCCTTCCTGCCCAGGTCATCTTTTTATGGGGAGGTGAGCTCAGGAGCGCTTCTCTTCTTTCCTTCCTCCCCTCCTTGGATCCTGGAACACGGGGAGCACTTCCGCCTGGAAATCTTTGAGGGCTGCAACTTCACGGGCCAGTGACTAGAGTTCACAGAGGACAGCCCCTTCCTCCAGAGTCAGGGGTGGGCCAAGAACCGCGTCAGCGCCCTCAAGGTGTAGGAGGATGGAGCATGAGTAATGCTGCATAGGGCCGTGCCCTCTGCCTGGGACAGGTATCAGACCCCCGCAAGTGGGCAGCATGCCCCCACCCCAGAAGCCCTTTCCCTCCCTTGGCTGCCCCACCCCAGGCTCCCTACCCAAGTCACGCAAAAGCAGCTTCCTGCATGACCCCCACTAACCCCTGCACACAAGGTGTGTACAATAGAACCAGTGCAGTAAGTGTTGCGCTTTGCGGGCTAGCACCTTCCTTATCACCTCCACTTTGCAGAGGAGGAAGCTGAGATGCAGAAAGGTTAGAGAACTCTTGTGCTAGTTGGTAGCACAGCGGGATTGCAGCCAGGCTTTTGACTTCCATATTGTCCAGTCCTAGAGTGGTGTCTCCCCAGGCCCGACCTCCACCCCCACCCTCACTGCAGGAGAGCTGTCTGCTTGGGCACCTGCCTCCCTGGTTGCATCTTGCAGAGCCAGGCCTCTGTATTCCTGTAGCACAGGATCAGGGGAGTGCTCAGGGGCTGCAAGCAAGGAGCTGTGAGAGGGGACTAAAGGAAGATGATAACTGAATGGGAGAATTGTGACAGCCCACCTTCCCCAGGCAGCCTGGTCCCACAGGCTGTGCTCAGCCCTTCCTGCTCTTTCTCCATCCTTCTGATTCTCTCCAGGGCTCTCTTTCTCACATCTGCCTTTCTTCTGCCCTTCTCTCTGCCTTTGTGAAATTCCATGTTTGCCCTAAATTGATGGCATCTGGGAGTTCCATAGGTAGAATTCCAAAACAGTAATCTGCCCTGGAAAAATTGCTGGCTGGATTGTGTCTCATGAGACCAAAGTCATACCTTTGCATGTAAGGAGTCCTGAGACCCAAGAGGCAACCCCTGCATGCCCACCCCCAGAAGACTCCCAGGACTTGTCTAGAAAGAAGGTGAGGAGCATGGGGGGGGTGGGGGACATACATGATCTCCTTTGTTGTAGAGTAACGATGCATGCTCTGTTTAAAATAAAATCAAGAGAGATTTATTGAAAGTAGAGGCAGCTAGAGCCAGGGAAATACTGACTCCCACAAAGTGAAAGTCAGAGCTCCATAATGGTGAAGCTGCAGAGAGATATTTATAGGGTGAGATCAAACAGCTTAAGGTACATTATTTTGATTGGAAGTTACAAACTTAGATCAGCATAAAGCAGGATCATTAGAAGTGGGGGCTCGAAAGAGATTGGTTTATCAGGGATATGTGGGCATTCTCGATTGGTGGCTTACAGTTAAGCTGTTTGTTTCAAGGCTCCTTGGGAACAAGCTCCTTGAGAACAAGCTGCAGAGGAGCTGTTTTAAGGCTCCTTGGGAACTAGCTAACAATATTCTTATTGGTGCTCGGTGAGGTAAGGTGGTGGAAGGCGGGACATCACAAAGTGGTCTTTTACTATGATTGGTTTACAGAGTATATGTGTGCTTTGTTGATTAGTTACTACCTGGTGTTATGTGTGCTTGCAAAGGGGTCACAAGGGGGTCACAAGATGATTACATGATGGATTCTATGGGAACAGAGGGTAAAGATTAACTTACTTAGGGGAGAGTTCTTTTGAGAATATCTTACACAAAGGGTTTTGATACCTTCTCCTGGTTTAGCATGATGAACTTTTTTTTTCATTTGGCATGCATTCTTTTTATTTTTTATTGTACTTTAGATGAAGGTTTACAGGACAAACTAGCTTCTCATTAAACAGTTAGTACATATATTATTTTATGACATTGGTTAACAGCCCCATGACATGTCAGTACTCTCCCTTCTCAACCTTGGATTCCCTATTACCAGCTTTCTTGTTCCCTCCTACTGTCTAGTCCTTGCCCCTGAGCTGGTGTGCCCCTTTTGTCTCGTTTTGTCCTATGCGACTGTCTGATCTTTGGCTAAAAGGTGAACCTCCGGAGTGACTTCATTACTGGGCTAAAAGGGTGTCCGGGGGCCATACTCTCGGGGTTTCTCCAGTCTCTGTCTGGCCAGTAAGTCTGGTCTTTTTTTTTGAGTTAGAATTTTGTTCCACATTTTTCTCCAGCTCTGTCCGGAACCCTCTATTGTGATCCCTGTCAAAGCAGTCAGTGGTGGTAGCCAGGCACCTTCTAGTTGTACTGGACTCAGTCTGGTGGAGGCCGTGGTGGTTGTGGTCTATTAGTCCTTTGGACCAATTTTTGTCTTGTGTCTTTAGTTTTCTTCATTTTCCCTTGCTTCTGAAGGGGTGAGACCAGTGAAGTACCTTAGTTGGCTGCTCACAAGCTTTTAAGACCTCAGACGCTACTCACCGAAGTAGAATGTAGAACATTTTCTTTTTAAACTATATTATGCCAATTGAGCTAGACGTTTTCCTGAGACCATGGTCCCCACAGCACTCAACCCAGTAATTCGGTCCCTAAGGGAGTTTGGATTTGTCCATGGAGCTTCCATGACCTTACCCTGAACAAGTTGTGCTGGCTTCCCCAGTATTGTGTACTGTCTTACCCTTCACCAAAGTTACCACATATCTATTGTCTATTTAGTATTTTTCCACTCCCACCCCTCCACTCCCTCATAACCATTAAAAATCATTTCTTTTTGTCTGTAAACCTTTTCATGGGTTTTTACAGTAGTGGTCTCATACAATAGTTGTCCTTTTGTGATTGACTTATTTCACTCAGCATAATGCCCTCCATAATCCATGTTGTGAGATGCTTCAAAGATTCATCATTGTTCTTCATTGTTGCGTAGTATTCCATCGTGTGTATATACCAAGGTTTGTTTATCCATTCATCTGTTGATGGGCACTTAGGTTGTTTCCATCTTTTTGCTATTGTGAATAATGCTGCAATGAACATGGGTGTTCATATGTCTATTCGTGTGATGGCACTTATTTCTCTAGGATATATTCCTAGGAGTCGGATTGCTGGATCATATGGTATTTCTATTTCTAGCTTTCTAAGGAAGTGGCATATCTTTTTCCAAAATGGTTGTACCGTTTTGCATTCCCACCAGCAGTGCATAAGAAATCCAATCTGCCCACAGCCTCTCCAACATTTGTTATTTTCTGCTTTTTTGATTCATGCCAGTAATGCCGGGGTGAGATGGTATCTCATTCATACACTTTATTTTTGCAGAATCATTTGAAAGTAAGTGTCTTAGTCATCTAGTGCTGCCATAACAGAAATACCACAAGTGGATGGTTTTAATTAAGAGAAGTTTATTTCCTCACAGTCAAAGTAGGCTAAAAGTCCAAATTCAGGGCATCAGCTCCAGGGAAAGGCTTTTTCTCTCTGTCGGCCTTCTTGTCTTCAGTGTTCCCCCGGACCAGGAGCTTCTCAGCGCAGGGACCCCAGTCCAAAGGATACGCTCTGCTCCCAGCACTGCTTTCTTGATGGTATGAGGTCTCCCTGTCTCACTGCTCACTTCTGTCTTTTATATCTCAAGAGATAGCCTCAGGACACAATCCGGTCTTGTAGATCAGGTCCTGCCTGACTAATACGACTGCCACCCATCCTCCCTTATTAACATCATAGAGGCAGGATTTACAACACATAGGGAAATCACACAGTACCAGGAATCATGGCCCAGCCAAACTGATATACACATTTTTTGGGGGGACATAATTCAATCCATGCCATTCCACCCTTTGGCCCCCAAAAAATCACATCCTTGCAACATGGAAAACATATTCATCTCATCATATCATAGCAAAAGTCTTAACTCCAAGTCCAAAATCCAAAAATTCCTCTTCATCTGTGAAATCTAGAATACAAGTTATTTGCTTCTAAAGGTACAATGGCGGAACAGGCATAAGCTAGACATTTGCATTACAAATGGGAGAAATTGGAGGGAAAGAAGGCATAACAGGCACCAAGCAAGTCAGCAGAACACATTACATTAGCCCTCAAGGCTTTGAAAATAATCTTCTGTTCTCTGAGACAATTTACACAATGGCCTTGCCCTCCAGACTCTAGGTATTTGCCACAGTCTCTGGATTTTGAGTGGAGGCCCCTCGGCCCTGGACTTCAGCTCCGCCTTCCAGGCCCACTAGGACAGCATCTCTGCTCCCTTGGCTTTAGGTGCACCATTCTCCTAGTACATCGGAGTGACAACTCCACCCTTAGAAACACCAGAGGCCATGGCTCCACCCTTTGAAACCCCTGAGGTCATGGCCATACCTTTTGAGACAGAGGCATCTGGGCTTCTTGTGTCCCTTGTCTCTTCAGCTTCTGCTTCCTATGGCCTCTCGGCCCTCGGGCCTCACGACCGCATCTGCCCTGCTGGGGTAAGTGTTCCAAAGCTCAGTAGCTCTACCGGTATAAGTGCCCAGAGACACCCCACTCCGCCAGAAAGCCTCGTGCACACAGACACTCAGCTCTCTCGCTCCGTGGGTCGGCAAGCCTAGCTCCACCGATAAGTACACAGAGGCACCCCACTCCGCCAGGAAGCCTCCTGCACACAGGCACTCAGCTCTCTCGCTCCGTGGGTCGGCTCCAGCGCCATCTCGCACTGGTCTCCTGGTTCTGCTGCTGTTGGTTCTCTACTGCTGCTGCTTCTCTGCTGCCGTAGGTTCTCTGCTGCTGTTGGTCCTCTGTCACTGCCATACATCTATCCATTCACAGTTTTAAAACCACTTCCACATTTTAGGTATCTGTTAGAGCAGCACCGCACTCTCTCGGTACCAAATTCTGTCTTAGTCATCTAGTGCTGCCATAACAGAAATAGCACAAGTGGATGCTTTTAACAAAGAGAAGGTTATTTCCCCACAGTCAAAGTAGGCTAAAAGTCCAAATTCAGGGCATCAGCTCCAGGGGAAGGCTTTTTCTCTCTGTCGGCCTTCTTGTCTTCAGTGTTCCCCCGGACTAGGAGCTTCTCGGCGCAGGGACCCCAGTCCAAAGGACACGCTCTGCTCCCAGCACTGCTTTCTTGATGGTATGAGGTCCCCCAGCATGATGTACTTTTGACATTCTGTAGCTTAGCTACAGAGGAAAACATTTCCTTGGCTGCATGATTAGGTCTGTA